CCACGGAGTTCTGTTATCAGGTTATTATAACTTGGTTTATTATTGACTATAGATTATATAATGATTAACTGAATAATATTAGGTGTAATAAAAAGAAATCCATTATTTTTCCATTCAATTTCATGCAAAAATAATGGATTTCTTTTTACTACACCTAATATAATATTCGCGCTAACGATGTATCGTGTGCGCGATCATGATAAAAACGATTTTATTTTTGTGTTCACTCTACTCTCTGCGCACCAAAAATGTGGGGATTAGCAGTGGCGCTTTCTCACTTTCAGTGCTGCTAATCTCATAAATAATAACGACCAGATCAATAGTAACTAACGTGAATAAGATTACTATTCTACGAAAACTTTGTACTGTCTATTTATAAAAAAATTATTAGAGATCAGAAATACTTATTTTTCGTATTAAAAAAGAAAACCTTTTTGAAACCCTTGCCATATTTCCCATAAGGGTGGGATATATAGCTACTCATAAAGGAAAGGCGGATATGTACGGTGTTCATTTACAAATAAAAAAAAAATTTACAAATAATGCTTATAAATAAGATATAATATAATAAGACATAATATAATATAATAACTTATAAAATATGTTACAAAGGTTTTATTAAGGAATAAGAATGATAAATATATATATGAAGTAATAGATAATAATTTCAATCTTCCTACATATAAATATTATTATTACGTAAGGTACATATTTCATATAATGTGTTCATTGCAAGTAGCGCACTTTGTTTGCTTTGGGCATAAATCTCGCTAAAAATATTGTATATCCCAAACAGATAGGATAGACAAGACAACAAACTAAACAAAGAATACAAGAACAAAGCACATATTTTGTTATATAACGTGCTTTACTATTTCTCTACACTTATATATCACGAAATAATTACTAAGTCTTTTACGCGCTCAACAGTAATCATTTTATATAGATTATAATTTATGATGACGCTTATTATAGTTGATGACGCTTATTACAAATCAAATCGATTCAACTCACAATAATTTCATTTATATTAACAATAAAAAACTGAAATCATAACACAATATAACATAAAGGCATGTAACAGAGTAGTTGCGAGAAAATTATCCCCACTCCTATTTTTTCTGACTTCTGCGGCATAAATTCCAGCGCAGCGTGTTTACTGGAGTTATCTTAAGAGATCTAATCGTTGGGATGGATTACGAGAAAATGAGGAAAGTATGCTGGAAAGGAATTTGCAATAAAATGCAAAAAAGACGATACGCAGATGAAAGGTAAAAACTGTGCATATTGTTATATTCTACAACAACTCTTTGATAATATGGCTAACTAACTAATAGCGTATTTGATTTACCCAACTGGATTTCGAGTCAATGATCTGTTCTGTTTAGCAACAAAAGAAAAGCTAAACTGTGCAAGAAATGCAGTTAAAAAAAATAAACTGTTGGTTCGGAGTCGAGTCGAGTCAATAAATCAAAAACACTATAATTAGAAAGCCTCTGAGGGATAGAGTGCAAACTGCTCTTTCTCTAATTATCGAAATTCTATAAACATGGAAGAAATTGGAGAAAACTGAGTCACGTGACCCCCATTTTGATTGGATGCCGTCATTGAAACTTTATTTACGTGACCAATTTGCCACTCTCTCCCTCTGAGGCTCTGTAATTATAATTAAAGTGGATATAAAGAGAGCACTAATGCATGCTGATTGACTCCGCTATTAAGTATTAAGTAAAATTGTAGGGTTTAAAAAGATCCATTTAATGATTTTTATCAGTTTAACTTTGAATGGCGTCACCAATATCAAATCAAGGTCACATCGATTTTTTAAAGTTTTACAAATATGCAAAGTTTTATTAAAATCGATGAGTGATACTTCCGTAGATTTACTTGTGAATGAATCTTTCATGGAAAAATACATTTAAAGTAGGAAATTCTTATTGTTAGTTAGAAAGAAGACAACGTTAAAGAAAAAAGAGGATAAGACGAGGAATTGCGTTATAGATATAAGACACAAAATGGCGACTTCCAGCTAATTGACGTCATTCTTTTTATTCTCATTCTAGTTATAACTGTATTGCGCCACCTGTCTTTCTCTTCTCGCCAATCAGGAGCACCTCGCAGCCGCGGCTCTCACACGGATCCCTTACTTGGGGTTCTTGGGGCTCTTCACTTTACAATAACAGATATCTGATTTTTTAAAGCGCCGCTAATATCCATAAAATTAAATGTTAGATTATTATATTTTTATATTATATTTTTATATTACTCATTTCTCATTTATTTTATGTTAAGACTTTATGTATTTATTAAGACTTAAGATAATCTAAAAAAGAATATTACTATGATTTTGGTAGTCTAAAGGCTTAGAACGCTCGTACAAGAAATCAACTCCTGACCAAAGTAATATTTTTCTTAATAAATTTATTTATAGTTTTTCAGCACATTAATATCTTTCTAATATGATTGAGCATCGAATTGTTAAAAATTGCTTATCAATTTAATGTAATTTATGATATTATTATAGTAATTTAATTACGTTTAAGTCCGAAAAATCAATTCGGCGTATAGTTTGAATGATTATAAATATGATATATATGCATAAACATATATAGTATATATAGTATATAAATATATATAATATATATAGTGTCAAAAGTTCCAGGCCAACTAAATCTCAGAAAGTATACATTTT